GGATCTTTGATCTTCCACCTTGTTCCACGCGCTGGGTTTTATTTGTCAGTAGCAATTTGGCTGAAATTAAAAAAATAAGTAAAAGAGGAAATTCAAAATTGCATAAACAGAGTGTCGGCTGTATATTTGAAGTTTCGGCAAAGTGAATTGTCGCGAGAAAGAAGTCAACCGCCGGAGTAGAATATTTTGCCGGCAGAGTTTGAATCACGTTTCGTAACGGCGAATTCAGTCTTTATTACAGTTATTTCTGATCGCATGAGTATTGTCTGATATGCGTTGAACTTTCGGAACTGTTTCGAATCCTTTCGGAAAAACTACTGAGAAAGAAGCCACCTCAGTGCTAGTAAAAGTGCTTCGATCTTTCCGAGAAAAGTCCTGACTGTTCTAGGGAAAAGTCCCGAATTTTCTAGGAAAGATCGAAGCGACTCTGTGTCTGATCTGCTAGCACTGAGTTGGCTTCTTTCTCTCATGCGATCAGAAATAACTGTAATACTGAAAGAATTCGCCGTTTATACGAAACGTGATTCAAACTATTCCGGCAAAATATTCTACTCCGGTGGTTGAGTCCTTTCTATGAAGGTATATGTATGCCAAAATTCAATCCTCTGTAATTGAAATAAAATTACTGAAATGAGGAATGCATCAATCCGAAGCTAAATGGCAAAGAGCCGATTTAGACGAAGAAGGGCATATCGCGAATAGGCATCGCGCAAATAGGTATCACGCAAAAAGGTATAACGCAAATAGGCATAACGCAAAAAGGCGTAACGCAAATAGGCTTAACGCAAAAAGGCATAACGCAAATAGGCATCACGCAAAAAGGCATCATGTTATAAGGCACGGGCATGCGCTAAGCAATCTCTTCCAAGAGCCTCCGTTTTTTCGGTGAAGCGGCGAGGAACGAAGAAAATGGTGTTTGAGCGAGAGATCGCTTCTTCTTCCCCTCGAGATGTCATGGCTCAATATTTGAGGAGAGCTCTTATTGAATTATTACGTCAGGCGGAAAATGGTGTCGAAAGTGATTACATATCCTTTCGCCTTGAACAATTGATCGATGTTGTTTTAAGAGCTGAAACTATTTACCAACACAGTCCACAACTAGTCTCCATTCTTCGAAGGGCCTTGGCAATTGCAGAAACATCCCACCATGAAGTTAGTACTACCGTACCTGCTGTTTTTAATACAGGTCAGCCAAGCCGAACAAGTTTTAAAATACAAGCTAACAGTTTGAAATTCCTACTGGAATTTGGGTTTAAAGCCACGGAAATTGCCACAATGATGTCTGTAAGTTTGCGAACAATTCGAAGACGAATGACATCAGAGAGAGAACATCCTTTGACATCAGAGAAGAAGTGTCCCGTTACACTCCCTTTTAAAATAAAGATCTGGATGAAATATGTAGGGCAATAACCGTAGAATTCCCAAACTGTGGAGTTAGGAGAATGAGAGGTTTTCTCTTGACGAGAAATATCCGAGTTTCAGTCTTGTGTTTATACCGACCCCCCTCTCCCCCGCAACACCACCCATCTCATTACTTTCAGATCTACCTTCTAAGTCGGGAGAACAATTGGCAAATCTTCGTCGAGGCAAGTGAGTGAGAGTTTCCGATTCTTATTATGCAACCAAAACTATGACGCAAGCACTCGTGTACGTAAAAACTAAAACTGTCACTCCGGCAAACACGTGATGTTGCTTAGTAACTAACGAAACCTGCGGGCTCAGTAAGTTCTGTACTTGGGCATGCGCGATGCGTTATGCCTATTTGCGTGATGCCTTAGTTAAATAATTAGTTAAATAATTTCTGACTGATCAGAGGGAGGGCAATAACTAAATTCACTTTTTTAGGAGGGGGGGGGGGGGGGATATTACCTAATATTTTCCTACATGAAGCCCATTTTGGTTTGTTGCATTTCAATATTTATTTCAAATCAATGATCAAACTTTAATTAACAATTGAAATAAATTTATCTTTGACAATAGCAAATGTAAGAATGTTAATTTTAAAATAAACAGTTCATGTTGTGGTTCGGCATTAAAATATACATTTGAACATTTTGATTACAGTCAGTTTTGTATTTAGTACAGTTAATTAATTAACACTCTTAGGTCCCTACTCACTTAACTTAAACTTGTTAAGACCCTGATAAATAATACTGAATTATTAACTGGAAACAAATTGAGTTTTTGCTCTGATAGAGAAACATAGTTATCTTCTGACATGAAAACTCTCAATCGAATTGAGTTATTCCTTAATCAATTTGTGTGAATTAATGAATAAAACTTGGCAAAGATGGAGGAGATTAGTTATTGACAAATATATTTTAAAACTTGTTCAAATATGTGCTTTTATGATGTCTCACCAATTACAAGAAGTTTGGCTTTTTTTAATCCCAAAATGTTTGATTCAAATACAGTGGAACCTCTACTTTGGGACACCTTATAAAGGGAAAACTCCATTAAGGGGACACTTCTTTGAGTCCCGGAAAAACACTCAATACTCATATAATCTTTGCATTTACCACCTCTCTTAAAGGGACACCTCTATTAAGGGGACGGGGAAAATGTTTGAGTGTCCCGAATGCTATTTCAACCTTCATTAAAGGGAAAACTAATCTGCTAATGAGTACAAGACTATGATTATTGATCAATCTCAACGGTATTTCAACAGGCAGTTATTGTTCAAGAAGAGTGCAATTACACAGTAATATCGAAAATCGCAATTTAAACAGTCCAAAGATGCTGTTGCAAGTTAAAATCATGCATTTGATTGCTGCTTAATTAAATTGCTGCATGCATTCCAAGTCAAGAAAACAGGCACTTTTTTCATTTCGTTTAGGTTGTTAATTATTAACAAGACCCCGCCCTACCTCCATTCAGGGGACACCTCCATTAAGGGGACACTTCTCCTGCTCCCGAGGGTGTCCCCTTAATGGAAGTTCCACTGTACCTAGAATATCATGTTATAACTAAACAAGAATATAAGGACAGTCAATTAAGGAAAATCCCAAATTTGAACTGTAAAAAGCTGAGGTTAATATATCCTATGTATATACAGCCTTTGGAATTGTACAGGAATTGTCTTTATATAATAATTTATCTGGTAAGACTTGATTAGCAGACGATCTATGTATATGCCTTGAAGATGAATGAGACACTACAGGTGCTGGTATACGCTGAGTTGAATTGTAAAGCGCATTTGAACTTTGGAAAATGCGCTATATAAATATCATTACCATTACCATCGAATTGATCGTCATAACTACAGACACTAGGATTTATCATGTAATTACGCGTCATACCTACAGATATGTTCATTGGCGTCATACACGTGTATTACGCTTCGTTCGCTTCATTAGCGCCGGCAGCGAAAAATAAATCATCCACAATCCGCGAAGGAAAGTAAGGAAAGGAAATAAAACGCTGCAAAGTTAACTGAGCCCGAAATGATGATTTACCTTCTTGTTACCTATTTTCGCGGGAACTTATAATTTCGCGAAAATTGAAGAGGCAAATTTCGCGAGACTTAAATTTCGCGATTTGGCAGAAATATCGTGTTAAACGGAACTAAATTTCGCGAATATTTTCTGAATGCTGATCCGCATTAATAAACATGTAGTCTCAGAATCGACGCTACAGAATTTAATTTTACATAGCCATATTCTGCAATGATATTGAACAGGACCACGTCCATAACAAAACAAAACGTACAACAGATCGACATGTTTGTTTACGACAAAGAGGTACAACGTTATACTACACAGGCCAGCATTTACGATATGTCTTTTCTCTCTTGTATTGCATAAATACCAAAGGCATATGTATAACCCCGGAGTCCAGAATTCTTCTTGTAAGGATGCTCTGTTATAATCACGTGAACTGAGAACTGACTTAAAGTATTATAGCCGAGTATTAAATTTCGCGTCGCTAATTTTCGCTATAACTTTTTTTTGCGAGTCTTCAATTTCGCGATTTTATTTGCAATCGCAAAAATCGTGAAAATGAAGTCCCGCCAAAATAACTAACAATAAGGTATGTAAAATAAAACAATTATTGGATTCGGTTTTCGCATGATAGCGAAATTATCATGGCCTGGGTTTGTGTTGTCCGCCTCAACCTTCGGCTTCGGTAGATAACAACAATCTCGGCCTTGCTAATTCTCGCTATAATGCTCAACCTCATCTAATAATTGTTTATTATTTTAGTTCTGGATCTCTGCAGATTAGAATGCTCAGAGATTATTACAAAATAGACATATGATCAAACGAAAAGCAATTATTTTAGCTAAAAACCACAATTTGCGATACTTATACAGATCTGTTAACGCGTTCAAACAACATAAGGCATTTGATAAATGTCCAATCATGTTGTAAGAAAGATCTCTAAAGGGCAAACAATTTTCTAATTGGCATATGGCTTAACCAAACATCCCATACTTGCACAAGATAATTTGCATAGGTTTACGGCGTCATTTGCATATTTTATGGCACGAAATTTGCAAGATGGATAAATTGATGGCAACTCAATCTCGTTCCCAGAGTCCTCGTTACCCTTGTCCAGCGGTGGAGCGGCCAACAAGGACCTCTGGGATAGAGTAATCCGCCTGACTTGCGCAGAAAGAACGGAAGTCCAAGAATCTTGGCGTCCGTCAGTTGAAACATGGGGTCGAACACATGCGCAGTAGAGCTGGAAGTCCAATAATCCTGTCACGGCATATCGCTTCTCCTTCAGAGCTCCTTGTTCGCCGCTCCACCGCTGGACAAGGGTAAACAGGACTCTGGGAACGAGATTGGTGGCAACTATGTCATTTATTAACTGCGCAAAATACGAGAGCATTAATATGTTGAATATTAATATAAACCCTAGCTGAAATCAGGGGAACATGGAGCATGCGCATACAAGTATGCATGTATTGTTCTCTACAAACAATGCGAGACAAGCCTAAGGCCTGAACAAAAAATCAGAAATATATAAAACCACAATTTTCTTTGCTCCCAATGTGTGGCTTCGTGATCATAGCTCAGATGGTAGAGTGTCGCACCGATAACGCGGAGGTCATGGGTTCAATTGCCATTGAAGTTCTGAATTTTTTCTGGCATCTTTGCAATTTCTTAAACTGCCAACACAACAGCGAGGATGACTTTTCTTTCTTAAATATCGAATTATGACATTCTGCTTAATTTGTCATGGCTATAAATATATTAAGGATCCATCCAATGTTTGCAGGATTATGTGTGCGAGATGTCATTACTGAGTACATTAAAGAACACCTTCCAGATATCTCTTTTAATTGTTAATTATTTAGACTGTAGACAAACAGTTTCTATTTCAAATTGACAAGGAAGAAAACTTTGACTACTATTGAGCATATGTGATAGTTTCAAATTAATGGGACAACACTGATTTTGTGAGACATAATCTGTACCCTGCAGATATCAAAATGTTTCCCCAGACTGTAAAATGGTGCTGACCGTACATGCCATTGTACACCGTACTATGTATTCAGTATATCTCAGAATGAATGTAACAACATTGATTAATAAACTTTACATCAACCACGTATTGTAAGTGTAACTTGATTAAGTAAGCAGTACATTGGATGGTATGTTGCATTTCAATATTTATTTCAAATCAATGATCAAACTTTAATGAACAAATACATTTTTCTTTGACAATAGCAATGTAAGAATGTTAATTTTAAAATAGAAAGTAATGTTGTGGTTCGGCATCAAAATATACATTTGAACATTTAGTACAGCTAACACAACATATTAAAACTCTTAGGTCCCTACTGACTCAACTTGAACTTGTTAAGACCCTAATAAATAATTATACTGAATTCTTAACTGGAAACAAATTGAGTTTTTGTTCTGATAGAGAAACATGGTTACTCTAAATCGAATTGAGTTATTACTTAATCAATTTGTATGAATTAATGAATAAAACCTGGCAAAGATGGAGGATATTAATTATTGACAAATATATTTTAAAACTTGTTTATGTGCTTTTATGGTGTCTCGCCAATTACAAGAAGTTTGGCTTTTTTCAATCCCAAAATGTTTGCTTTCAAATACCTAGAATATCATGTTATAACTTAACAAATATAACACAAGTGTAACACACTGTCTCTTAAACAGAATATAATGACAGGCAATTAAGGAAAATCCCAAATTTGAACTGTAAAAAGCTGAGGTTATATATCCTATGTATATACAGCTTTTTACAGTTCAAAGTATAACTATATGTCTTTATCTTAGTACTTTATCTGGTGAGACTTTGATTAGCAGAAGATCTATGTATATGCCTTGAAGATGAATGAGGCACTATCGATGCTGGTATAGGCTGAGTTGAATTGTAAAGCGCATTTGAACTTTGGAAATCGCTCCATATAAATACACTGCCATTACCATCGAATTGACGCGTCATAACTACAGACACTAGGATTTATCATGTAATTACGCATCATACCTACATACATGTTCATTGACGTCATACACGTGTACTACGCGTCGTTCGATTCATTAGCGCCGGCAGCGAAAAAATAAATTAAAATACTCCACAATTCGCGAAGGAAATTAAGGAAAGGAAATAAAACGCTGCAAAGTTAAAGGGACACTGTCCCGGCGTATTTGCTCAAACTGTTATAAATGCATGAATGGTCCCTAAATCTATGGAATAAGAACTTAATAAACTCTAACTAAATGATAAAAAGCAATTTCTTCAAGAAATTCCATACTGCAACAAAATGTTTGCAAAATTTCAAAGATTTCCGAGCCAAATTTGAAACTTTGAAAAACTGACATCCTAACGTTTTTTCAAAAATCCATATTGCACCATTTCCATCCTCGCTGTCGTTTTGTCATCCTCACTTTCTAATGGGTTCCTGTCATTTGTCGAGTGCTATTCTACAGAATCAAACCATTATTGTTCAACTTCCTATGACCTAGATATGTTTTCTGAGCCTTCCCAAAATCATGCTAAAATCAGGACAGTGTCCCTTTAAGCCCGAAATGATGATTTACCTCCTTGTTTCCTATTTTCGCGGGAACTTATAATTTTCGCGAAAATTGAAGAGGCAAATTTCGCGATTTGGCAGAAAAATCGTGTTAAAAGCTAAGGAATTAAATTTCGCGAAACTTTTCCGACTTCTGATCCGCATTAACAAACATGTAGTCTCAGAATCGGTGCTACAGAATTTAATTTTACATAGCCATACCGTAAACCTGCGCACTTATAAGCCCCCCCCCCCCCCCGCTTATAAGCCCCCCCCCCCCCCCCCCGATTATAGGCCCATCTACCTGTAAGCAAAAAATACATCCGATTATAAGCCCCCCGGATATAAGCCCCCCTCTAGTTTTTGTATCCAAATATTGAAATGATCCCGATTTCGATTTATTATGACGTTTTAAAGCTTAATTAGAAACCAGTAAATGAAAAACGTATTTCGATCAACACTGCTGTAGCTCATTTGGAAACGTTTTTTTTAATTCCGCTTTTAAGCCCCCCCCCCTCCCCCCCCAGGTATAATCCCCCTGTTTATAAGCCCATCCAAAACCCCTTACGAAGTTGTATAAGCCCAGGGCTTGTAAGGCAGCAGTTTACGGTATTTTGCAATGATATTGAACAGGACCACGTCCTTAAACAGATCGACATGTTTGTTTACGACAAGAGGTACAACGTTATACTATACAGGGCAGCATTTACGATATGTCTTTTCACTTTTGTATTGTATAAATACCAAAGGCATATTTATAACCCAGAGTCCAGAATTCTTCTTGTAAGGATGCTCCGTTATAATCATGTGAACTGAGAACTAACTTTAAAGTTTATACAGGGGTATTATAGCCGGGTATTAAATTTCGCGTCGCTAATTTTCGCTATAACTGTTTTACGCGGGTCTTCAATTTCGCGATTGTTTTGCAATCGCGAAAATCGCGAAAATTACAGTCAAACTACTGTAACCGGGGCCACCCAGACAACGTTAACTAATCACAGGGCAGAACGGGAACAATACATTCCAATATTTTTGAATTGAGGCAATCCGATGTCGAGTACAGAGCAATGAAATTGCAACTTGTTCGTTCGCGATGAATACAGATGAATGTAAATGCGCCGATCAATTCGAAGCTTCCAGAATCATTCCACGATGTGAAAATGTATCATACTAGACGCGTTTAGCAACTGAATGCAAAGTAGAATTTACATAAGCCTACCTTCGAATGAATTAAATTTAATATTGTTTGAGGAGAGTTTGTTGTTCATTTTACAGCGTTTGTTCATTCGCTATTCAACAGCAGTTCATGCTCTGCGGACAAAAACTATTTTATGAAACAGGCAAGATCAGCGACCGCGACTTTCTACACATTGACTGGCAATTGATTTGATTATTCAAGCTATAAAACCTACAAATCATATAATTCAAATACACTCTAGTTTTTAAACATACCTTCAAAAATACTACACAGCTTTTGAAAACCTTTTCTTGTGAGCTATTCACTCACGAAAGTAAACTCTTTTCCTCTACACTCCTCATACTGAAACAACCACGTGTATTCCGCTTGAAAGACTTGACACTTCCGGTTCAAATTCCCCACCCCCCCATGCAAGGTTCAAATTCCCACCCCCGGGGAGGCCTTGCATCAAATTCCCTACTCCTCGGGCTCGGAAAATAGTCAAATGCCCGGGGGTTGCGGGGGGGGGGGGGGGGGGTGGTGAAGCTTCGAATTGATCGGCGCATAATTTTGTGCGAGTTCTGCGGCGTGTATTTTCGATTTCAACCCGTTTTTAATTGACTAGTTTTAGCAGTACGATTTGGAAGTAAAATATATGCGAGTCAATTAAAGAAGTACAAAAGAGAAACTCCAAACTACGTGAAAACTGGGAATGCGACGGTTGTACAGTATGTTGCCTCGAATAAAAGTGCGTGGCGGATTTGAAAATAATTTTGTTTCGCTCTTGACAAATTCAAGTTTTCTCTTACGGCGTTAGAACCGGTCTGAATAGCTACGCATGTCGGGGTTTTTGGCACTACCATTTGGAAAATAAATACGACTTGATGGCCAGCGAGGAAGTATTTATATTACAAACTGCATAATAGTCCGTGAACGCGACGGCCAATAGTTTTCGGCCAGGGGGCGCTGGAATGGATGAGGCGGTGGAAACGACCACTGGCGCTCTTTGTGCGATGTTTGATGGACGGAGTGAGACTGGGTTTGAGCGCCTCTTCGAAGAGCTGCTCGCGTTCCAAAAACATGTCGGCGAAATGAAGTTCAATAGGCTGAATGCAGAAAAGAGATTGCCACAAGAGAAAACGGTTACGGTGATCTCCAGTTAGTTTTTGTAGAATGAACATGGTGCAGAACATGTTGGTAAAGCTGTAAGCCAATACAAGAACGGGTTCAATATTGTAAAATCAACAACGATTTTATTTAAAATAAGTCGAGCTGACTTCGAAACGCGTTGCATCTTTTAGTGTGGGCGCGAAAAGACCAGACGTTGATTTGCCCTACGATCTACAACCAAACAAAACGGTAATTTTTCGGCTTTTTTTTGGTTTGTTGTTGGTATGCATGAGAGCAACCTTCGATTTTCCTCAGTGTAAATTTCATTTTGAACTTGGTTTGCAACTTTTTTGTGACCTACACGCCATAGAACGTCAGTGGCACAGTTAGTTCTCTCATTATAATACGGTGGAAAATTGGTTACATTTTGACGTTGTTGTTTTTTGCAGGACCGGACGGATTAAGAAATGTACCAAGTGGCAGAGCCAAATATTGTACCGAGATACGTCACAAAAAACAATAGGTGTAATTAGCAGTACAATGGCTTTGCACGCGTGCGTTTTGCTGCATATTGGTACATTTCGTAGTGCCAGTCCTCGGCCCTTCTGCAAAAACAACAAAACGTCAAATGACCAATTTTCACCTTATTTTGACGAGAACAAAGTTCGTGCAACTGACGTTACTAGAGCGTCTAACTCGAAAGAGTTGCAAAAAAAGTTTCAAAATAAAATTTCACACTCGGATGCAAAAGCGAAGGTTGCTCTATGCATACGGCCGAAAATTTAACCGTTTTCTTTGGTT